CCCCCCCCCCCCCCCCCCCCAAAAAAAATCTTGTCATGTTATGCACCCGCATCTTCCACTGTCCCATCCTTATCCCGTAATCTGTCCAGAGATATCAGTAACGAGTACTGCGCTAATAATTTTGTCCATTCTAAATGCTGGGGGGGGGGTGATATTGTCTGTTTTTTGTATTTATACATGTTCATAATATTATATCAACAGAGAAAAAACAGAAGACAGAACTGAACTGTCATTTGCTTCCTCCTCGATACGCTTGTTTGACTTATTTGACTACGTAAAAATTTAACCAGACTTTTTAATATGTTGTCGTTTTGAAGAGACTCTTTCTTTGCTCTTAAAATGTGTGTCCGTAACCCGGGGCGGGGGCATGGGTGTGTTTTGTGGAGTAGGTGCCGAAACCTGGCTCGTAAACGTAAAATGCGTTTCCGGTGGGTCATGGGTTTGAGCGGCCTTGTCCCAGCATGCTCTGGGGTCGCGGCCCGCAGCGAGCCGCCGGTATCCCTGCGCCGCGGCGCTGTTGCACGCCTGTGGACCCCTGCCGTATTTGCTTGCTCTGTTGATTCGGGGTGCAGACTCAGGGCCGTTGAGAGCAGATAAAGAGGTTAGACATTAACTTTCTGCTGGGCCGCTGAGGCCTACAGAAACGGCCCTGGCAGCTCTGGACTCTGGAGTATTGATTTTATCCCCAGCGCCCAACCCCCTGTCGCTTTTCCACCTCCTTTGTAAGGTCTGTATCCCCCCCCCCCTCCAGATAGGGTGCTGGCATTCCGGTAGTTTCCCTAAGTGGCTGACATGCGTCAGGGGTTTGGTGCGTACTGGGCCGTACTCGCCAGGTGGGGGCGCCGTGCCCCAAACCTCTCGGGCCTCGTCTCTTAGGTAGAGAACATCATCCATGTTGTTGACTTCGGCCGGAAGTTTCGATCTGCTTAATTTGCCTCTGCTAGACTTTATCTGTCTGTATTGCTGCTCTGATTAACTCACATCGGCTTCAGTTGCCGTTATCTTAAAGTAATCAGTGCTATGTTATGAAATAATGTTTTGATAGAGGATGTAATCCTTTATAAACAGTCAAGAGTGGTTCAGAAAAAATAAAAAATTATTCTAATCCATTTAAGACTGAAAGCTGGTGTGAGGGGACTTAATTGTTTAACTGTTTTTTTGTTTTTTTCCTTCTCCGTTGCTGTGTATTGTGGGATCCGGGAGCCTCGTTCTTTCCATCCCTTGGGAACGGCCCACCTGGCATCCCAGCAGCCCCTGGCGCGCCCCCCTCTGCACTGCGCTAGAAAAGCCTGACCTCACGATCTCTGGGCGCCACGTGTCCTGTACAGCGGCCGATGCGAGCGCTATGCGGACGGGGGCAGCGTGTGGCTCAGCAGGTTCAGAGACTGTGCCGGAAGGTCACTGGTTCAAATCCCGCGGCTGTTGTAAAATGTGGGACCCCCCGGGTATATCC